AAAATTCAGTTTACTGAATAAATTATTTCAATCTTTCTAGAAATATTCAATGAATGAGGAACTGAATTCAACACTTCACTTACCATAAAATTTACTTTAACAATAAATATAACTAATTCAGTTTACTCAAAATTTTCTAATTTTTACTTAATAATAAATTAACTAAAAAATAATATGAGATATTTTATAATAGCAACAACTGTCTACTTTGAGCTCAATAACAATTAAATCAAATAGTCCGGCATTTAGTTTAGTTAATTCATACAGCTGATAGTTTATTTGTATTTAATAACTAAGTTTTCGATGTTTGATAAGCACATTTTGGAGTTTTTTTTTTTTTTTAATAACTAGTGACTGATTTGTAGTTATATCATATTTGAATTTCATTACTATCATACAAATAGTTGCTAATAAATTTATTTTTTTAAAATTAATATTTTTTATGATAATTTAATCGTAGTTATTTAAAAATAAATTTTTTATTAAGTATTATTTTAAAAAATTTAATTAATATTTTTATTTATGGAATACATTAAAATAAAATAATACATTCACCTAATTCACCTTAAATTAAAAAAAATATATAAACATATTATTAAAGTATATATAAATAAAACAATTATACCTTTGTTGTTTTATATTTTTAACAATAACAGGCTGTCAAAATGTTACTAAATACGAGAACATTTACAATTAACCACCGTCAATTATAAGCAAATAGAAAAGCTATCACGGAGTAACTGGAACACCAGATAGCTAACCCAGGGTAGAGTTAAGAGACGACCCAAAATCCTGACTAATGCTTGCACCTGTCAAAACAATAAAAATCGATTACCTTTTGCAGCCGTAAAGTAACAGTACTGTAAACTATTTGATAAAGTATTATTGAATTAATTTTAAGCTTACAAGTATCGGCGAGCAATTGGTTTTTGCTTATCAACTATTTATATTAAAACAAAAAGACTAAAAGCCTTCATTCTATAATAGCCATGCAAAGATTTCTCACACCTCACGAAGCAATAACAAAGTTGTAGAATTTCATAATTAACAAAAATGAAAAACTGCTAATTTCCTCGTGCTCTTGCAGTCTTGCTCTGGTATTCTCTCTGCCATGGTTATGAACCCCTAGTCTCTCTCAGGACATTTTGTTGCAACCAATGATACCAACATGGGTGTAAGTGTGAAGCTAATTGTGTTTCTTTCTTCTTTTTCATTGTCTCTAAGTATATTAACTAACTCCATTAACTTTGTGCAGTGTTCTAATGGAAAATTTTGCAAAGATCCAGAGAAAGTGACAGCAGACGATTTCTTTATTACAGGGCTTAACGTTCGTAAACAAACCTCAAAACAATTAGGAGTACGTCTCACTCTCTCAACCGTAGATCAAGTTCCAGGACTCAACACTAATGCCTTATCCATAGTCCGCATTGATTTTGCACCAAGTGGCAGTCTAAACCCACCCCATATTCACCCTCGAGCTGCAGAAATACTGACTGTCTTAGAAGGAACTCTTTATGCGGGTTTTATTACAGGAAATCCTGATCACCGCATTTTCGCCAAAATCTTAAAGCCAGGAGATGGCGCCAGGAGATGCACATGTTTCCAACATGGACTCATTTCACTTCCCAGCTCATTCACTTCCAGTTAAATATTGGCAAGACTCCTGCAGTCGCTCTAGCTGTATTGAATAGCCAAAACCCAGGAGTTGTTACTATTGCAAATACAATATTTGGAGCTACCCCATCAGTAAATCCTGATGTTTTGTCAAGAGCATTCCATCTTGATAAGGATTTAGTGACTAAACTTCAAAAAGAAGAATGGGTTGATCCAGATCAGCTTTATTAATTGAGTTTTTCTGCAAGCAGAAAGTTAATTAATATCCTCATAATAATTCACTACATTGTAGTAAATAAAAAGAGAATTTTTTCTCTTTCCTTTTTCTTTTTCTTTTCTTTTTTTAATCTCAAAAGAGAGTATTGTAGCATAATAAGGACGAGGATGGTTAATATATGCCTCTTTCACCAAGTTCATGTGACATTAAGTGATGTGTACTATTGCAAGTAGTTTAATTAATATATATTTGAATTTTTGGTTTAATATGACTTGATTAGTTAATTCGAACTTAGAATCTCGTATGAATATGTCATTTTGTATTATTATGTCCAGTGGTGGAGGGAGGAAGGACTAGTAATAGCTCGCCCGAGCTCAAAAAAGAAATCCAAATTTATTATATTAATTCAGTTGGATTTTTTTTTTTACTCTAACATAATAACATTAAATTATTCGTTATGTTAGTGATTATTTCAAAACTTATTAAGTGTATGGCATAAATATGTAAAACGAGTAATGAACATATATGTTAAAATTATTATTTAGAAAAAAGAAAAAAAAATTGAACATCTAAGATTGATTGAAAATGGTGGACTAACAAAGGCAAAGGCAAAAGAGAGAGGAAATGTAAAACTTAAAAATAAGATTAGTTTCACACCAAAAGAGTACAAATCTGGAAAGAAAAATAAAAAAATAAAATGACAGAAACAGCTTTTGCCACAATAGTAATTTGTATTTGTCATGGAACTTATGCCTAAGCTCTTGATTGGTATTTCTGATACATTTATCTTTTAATGAGTTGAGGATTATGAAGACAAAAACTAATAGCAAATGGTGTATATTGACTCTCGAGGCCTTGGTTTTAATTTTGTCATAAAAATGGTACTTTCCTTCTTCATTTAATTTGAATCAAGATTCCACAATTTCTTTTTTCATTTTTATTTTTTTTAGAAAAATCAATATTATGATTGATGACGGCTCAACTCTGAATGTATGTCCATTTAAACTTCTGTCAAAGTTCAAGTTGGAAGTGTCAGATTTAGAACCGCCAGATGTTGTCATCTAGGCTTACAATGATTCCAAGAGACAAGTAGAGGGCATATTCAAGGCAGCTGTTAAAGTGGAGTCGGTTAAGAAAGAAATAGAATATGTTATGATAGACATTCCCTCGACTTTTGTCTTGCAACTTGGGTGCCCATGGTGCCACTCGTTGGGAGGTGTTCCATCTATGCTACACCAGAAAATTAAGTTTCCATTTAATGGCGAAGTCATTACCATTCCAACTGCTAGTGAAAGGAGTGTAGCTACACTGAATATTGACAAACAGGTCATTCTCCCACGGACTGGCTTCCAAATTACAGTCTTAAGTACCGATATGGGGCCCACTGTCTCCAACATTATGAAGAAAATGAACTTTTAAGAAGGGAAAGGATTGGGAAAGGACCAACAGGGTATAACTGAACTGCCAAAGATTCACACTCAAAGGCACCACCTAGGCCTGGGTTTCAAATATGGAAGCACCCCAAAGAAAACACTTGGCTGGTTAGACATGGATGGACATTTTGTCCGTTCAAGTGAGCAACTGTGCATGAATAGGGCAAGTTTATTGAATCGCTAGATCGGCTTCTGTTTGACCTGCTGATCCGGGAAGGGAAGGGCCCTCGGGGTTTGTCTGTCCTTCTTTTGGTTTCGTTGTCCTTGTGTTGCGCTTGCTGGGCCTTCTAGGCCTCGTCTAGCCAAGCGAAGTTGTTGGCTCGAGCCATCAATTCTGCAAAAGAATAAGGCCTGTCAACGTTCAATGAATCAAAGAGCTTATACTTATAGTTTTTGGCCATTACACTAGTGTTGACGTTAGTGTTGAGATCTTCTATTTACATAGCTAGTTTCTGGAATTTAATGATATATTCTCGAAGATTCGCCATCAGCCCCTTTCACGTCTATTAGATCTGAAGATATCTTCTTGATCGATATGCAAATGATGAAACGAGCTTTGAATATAGCCGCTAGTTGGGCGAAATTGCCTATGGATCCTGTCCTGAGCATTTGTCCTGAGCATTTGAAACCATTCTTGCACTAGTCCCTTCAGGGTTATGAGGAAAGCTCTGCATAGTAAGGCGTTCGCTGTCGTCTGGATGTGCATTATAGTGCAAAAGTTTGATATGTGACTTTAAGATCAGTGGTTCCATCATATATCTCGAAGCTCGGCATCTTGAATTTGTGGGGGAAGTGCATTGATAAGATTTTCGAGGTTAGAGGTTAGTCGTTTCTTAGCCCGAAGTCCGTATTTTACCCTATCTCTCAGAAATCCTTCAAGATTTATAGGGTCTTTGCTCGGAATTCTTCTTCATCATCATGGTATGTGTTCCTGAGCAAAGGAGTAGACTGCATCTGTGTTTGAGTTTTGGTTTGGGTCCCTGTGTGCTAGGAGGAATCTTCGTCCCCCATTTCATCTCCCATTGTCTTGTTGGTGGTGTCTCCTCCCTCCGTTGCTATGTTGATGTGTCGTCGACCTTCAGGGGGAATATTCGCAACTGGCTTGGCTATTATTCTTTGTAGGATAGTTGCAAAATCCTTATATGCTTAGGTGAGCAACGCAGCTACTTGCATGTCTAGTGTTGAGACATCTAGGGGCGCAGGCATCAATTTTTCAATTGAATTACTTGCTTTTTTCAATTGAATTACTTGCTCCATCAGCATTTCCAACTCCTGGCGTGGGAGCTTTCTCCATTTTTGTATCTAGGGTGTTTGGGATGTTGAGAAGGGTGAGATAGATGACCGAACGCTTTGAAAGTGGTACAATTTTGCACGTCTGCGCTCACTACTCCAATTTGATAGTCTCAGAAACGTAATAACAATTCGGACAACTGGAGTTTAATTATATTAGATTATTGGAAAGAATGGCATTAACATCCTCTTTGGAAAAGATTTTTCTTTATATACATGATAAGGGAGCAAGCAGGTGAAACGCCCCGAAAAATCATTTTCAAAAGTTTTTCATTTAAAAGTCTAAATATTAATTTTAACCAATAATTTTAACCAAATATATTATAGGATATTTTTACAATTAAAAATAGTTTTGTAATTCTAATAATAACTACATTATTTGTTAAACCAAACTTGAAAACTATGTTAAACCCATTAAAAATCCATAAATGAATTGAAAACCAATCAAAACTCCTGATTTGGGACAACCCAGATTCTAATTGAACCTAAACCGACTTAGAACCAATGAAAAATCTCTAGAATATGGAAATACCCGACCTATCCTAACCCAAAAAAAAATCTATCCTTCCCGATTCAGCCGACACAGCTCCTCCCCCACCTGCGTTTTCCGTTCACCGTCATTAACCGCCAAACGGACCACCTCTCCTCGCTAACAGCTACAGCGGCCACTGACTTCTCCATTCCGCCTCCTGTTATTGCGTCGCAAGCGAGAGAGGGAGCTGCGATTTCGATCGACAGCTCGCTTTTCTCTCCTCGTTTCTCTGGTGACTCCAGCACGATCGGACGACTCCAGCTTCACTCCCGTCAACGGCGTAGCTCCGCACTCTCCCTCTCCATCGTCGTTCACCTGCTGGCACAGAAAACGCAAGGAACTGCGGTTGCGTTCCGATCGGGACAGTAGCAGAACCAACCCTGTTCCTTCGTTTTTCCGGCGACACTTGTCCTTAGCCGCGTTTGTGATCTGATCTTCTCACTTGCAGCTTCTCCGACCACCATCTCCTTCACTTTCGACCGAACTAGCAGCGGCACGAATCGGTTTGGAGAATAGATCTAGTTGCCAATTGTTCTAACCGGAAATTCTGATTTCCCAAGCGATTTACTATTGGGTAAGCCAATTTCCGAACCTCTTTAGTATAATATATGAGTTCTTTGATAAAAAAAAAATAATATGAAGGATTTGATTTTATAAATTTAGTGTAGAAATGAAATCCCTAGCTACTATTGTTAATGCAAAAATCTAGAAAAAAAAAAAAAATTTAGTTGCTCACTAATTATAGTTAAAACATATTTTGATGAGTGTTTTGGTGTGATTAAGGTATGAATTAAGGGTGGCAGCCTCTAACCGGAGAAAGTCATGGTTTTGCTTGAAATAAGATTTTATTGGTGGTATGAATTTGCTTTTCATAATTTATTGCGAAAGCAGATGTTATAATGATCGAGTTTGATGAGAATTGAGAATAATTCTTTAGTGGCAGCAGGTATTTTTTTTATGTTAATCACTTGAACTCTAGCTTTTAACATGAGTATATGAGGTTGCAGTCAAGCTCTTAAATGGGGAAACGTGTTAAGTAGCATTGAAATTACTCAAAAATAAGTTTCCCTTGATATGGCAGCAGCTAGCTTAGCTATTATCGTTGTTGAGTTTTGCTTAGTAAAACCTTAGCTATTTTCGTTAAGTTATGCTTAATAAAGTAGGAAATGATACCGTATACTAAATTCTTGAGGGAAAAAAAAAAAAGAAACAAGAAACAAGAGAGTGAGTGGAATATGGGTTTTAAATATAAATTTGAATTTTTATGGTTATAACTCCTTCCATATTATTCCATTACTTGAACCTTGAGAATGATGAGGTGAGAAGTGACGCAATATACGAATTGTTTGTCGAAGGGCGAATTTATTAGCATTTAGGCTATGAGTTTGATTAGAAATTCGGTTCTGGTATTGGTATGGAGAAAGAAAGACATGTATAAATTTTTTGATTAGAAATTCGGTTCTGGTATTGGTATGGAGAAAGAAAGACATGTATAAATTTATGGATGATTTATGGGATGTATTTATACAAGTGTGCATGCAATGATTGAGCTTGAAGTTTTATATGTATAGGTACAAATTAAAGAATATGGAAAAGAATTAATCGTGAAAGCGAATTATGCACTAATACTTATATATGTATCTATGTATTCAAGGACTAATCAAAGATATTATTTAAAAAGAAATTGTTGCTTGATATCATGGTACAATGAAGTTGTAAATTTAATTCTTGCTAGTGATTGATTAGTTAATGTGTAATATGTAATTTTGGTATAGAAAAACTCCGAATTTTGTGAATTGGTAGCAGTTACCTTAAGTTTTTGTGTTGTTTTAGTTTGTGTTGTTTTAGAGGGACTTATATATGCAAGCGAGTGTGCTTTCAAGATTCGGTGTTCGTTGATGATCTATGGTTGATAGATAATTTAAATAGGTTTGTTATTTATAATTTTGTTCAATAAGAATGATGATTCATGAATTGTTAAGTTGTAATATGAGATTTTAGTTAACGAATGTTGGATACGTAAGCTATAGTTTTATATGATTGTAAGGGTCTATATTAGATAGTTTAACTAGTAACATGTGGAGGTTAAGCAAATAGCTATTTTCACTTATTTGCTTATTTATTTATTTACTTAATGTTATAGTTTATAGTAAGTTAAAGTTTGACATTGGAAACGATTAAATATTGATGTGGATTACTTTGATGGAGGAAGGGAATAAAATTGTTTGATTGCCCGATGGATGGACTGCGTGTATTTGATTGAGTAATACTTGGGTGTTTTATTGGGATATTTAAACAAGTTGATAGTTTCCATTTTTAGGAGAGGTGTTGCGGAAATTTCGATCTAGAATCTATAGGCTAGTTGTATTTAATGGATAAGTTAATAGGTTTGTTTGGAATAATTCTTTAATTTGATATATCTAAAATAAATCTCTTTATTTACTTTAGTTATTTCCTTTGCATTTATGATTTATTAAATCGTATGAGTTCATCCACCGCTCCTGCGAATCAGAATCTAAAAGATTTTCTTCTTTATCATTGTAAATAATAATAAACAGTGCTCTACCATCTGCATCATGCATTTTTACATTACCACATAATGCTATAATTATCTATTTATTTGATTATTGCTTATTTAATTCATTACTTTTCTACTTATTTTATATATGTGTATATTTGTACATTTGCATAATCTTTGCATAATCTTTGTTTGTTAATGTGTTGCAATTAAGTGCGATGTTTGATTATTTGTGTTGTGATATTATTATGCCTTGTTTGTGTGGAATTGGGATGAAGTGAGTCGTCACGGGTTTGTGTCAGCCATGTATGGAGAGATCGGTGCTCCCGTGTGCATCTGATGATATGAATTATACAAAAAACCACAGGGTGGCTTCCTGTTGGTATGGAAAGAAAAGAGTATAAAAAAAATGAGAGGGTTGGTCAAGTGAGGATTAGACCGGTTGGGAGGGTTGGTCAAGTGAGGATTAGACCGGTTGGCCATGTATGAGGGATCGGCTCTGTGGTGCACACGTCATGAGAGGATGAGCCATGTGTGGGGACGGCTCATCGGAGTTTCGTTGACGCCACTGACCACTGGTTTGATTACTTGAAGGTGTAATTACTTGTGGATGCTGATGTTGTGCCATATGCTTGACCGGCTGTGTGTTCATTTTAGTACTTTATGAAGCATTTCATGTGAATGCTTGTGTTATGTAATAATTAGTATTCATTATTAAACTCACATTTCTTTTGTTTTAACTTTTTCAGGAAGTAGATTCTTCTTTGTCTCGGTTAAAGCTCTGTTTCCTTCACTGTAGAGCTAGAAAAGAAAATTTCCTAATTTCAATAATTATCTTATTATATAGTTATATGTACGAAAACTTATTTATATTTATCTATTAGTAAACTCCGCAGTTGTAGGATTATAACCGATACACTTATGTAGATATTTAGTTATTCATCTATGTGAAAGCATGAGCCAATTAGCCTATACTATGGATGCTTCGTATTATAGTTGAGCTCGAACTATAAAATATTTAAGATGCTAGATTTGGGCCAAGATATAATATAATTATGAGATTTTATTACGTATGACATTATGGGTTGATTGTTTGAAATTCATATTGATATGGTTGAATTTTAATAGTTCCGGTTTACTGGTCCTAGTGCTGGTTCAGCCCATGGTTTCGGATCGTGACAACAGGCTACGTGAATATAGAGGAAAAATATATGGGCATTATCTCCGAAGATCACGCACGTATCTTCTGTTCCGTTACGTGGAGTGGTCCTCAAATCTCGGTTTAGATCGGTGTTTATCACTATCTTTTGCTTTTAGAATTTATTTTTTTTTTCAGTTTCATGAGTTCTTTGTTAGATTTCCTTGTTTTTACATGATTTCCTCTATTAGTTTTGCCTATTATTTTTCCTAATATGGTATTGATGTTTTTATCAACAATAATCAATAATTTTTTTTATTTTACGAATTTATTTAACCCAAAATAATTTTTTGTTTTTTTTTTTTTTGGTTACTCTCTTGCATTTATTTGCTGTAACTAAAATTGCAGGGTGTTACTCTCTTGCATTTATTTGCTGTAACTAAAATTGCAGGGTAGGACTATATAATTTAAGCTTTAACTAAGTTTTAATTTTATGAGTTATTTCCTAACTTTTTTTTCTTTTTTTTTTTTGGTTTATTCGACATTCAATGGACTATAGTTAATTTATTTTTCATTGTTTATTGTTGGAATCCAAAGTATACCAATAAATGGAGTCTACAAACACAACTCGCAATGCAGGCTGGGTATATGAGAAAAGCTCTTGAGTTCGATACCTACTAAATACAATTGCAGGAGGGGCGAAAAGTCTTAACTGTGATTAAACTTCAAGCAGGTTTAGGCAGTCCTTAGTAATAGGATCTGATATCGATGGTTTACACAAAAAAAATTTATGAGACAACCCAAACCACAGGATCCGTCTCCATGAGACAAGCTATAGCTAACCTATGAGCTGTATCATTAGCAGATCTACGAACATAAAAAAGATTGACATCTCTTAGCTCACTAAGCAGAGATTTACAATCAATAACAAAAAAATTGCTTCTTAAATGCCTTTTCACTTTGCAATCATATGAAATCACTAAAAAGTCATTGACATATTAATATTTTCATTTTAAACCTTTTCTTCATTTGCTGTTGTTTGAAGAGCTTCCCATTTTTATTTTACCATATCATACCTCTAATAAATGAATATGTTCATACATTTTAAAATTTCTATCCATATATTCATATTATTATCACATATGTAATCTATCTATAATCTATAATCTATATAATATATAAAATCAAAAAAGTCTATCTTGTATGACAGGCAAGTATAAGTAGAACAATTATTTAGCAAAATTGTAAGAAAATAAGTTATAATGATAGCAATTGCAAAAAGATAAGTTTCATATTTTGAGATAATATCATAATAAGGGGGAAAAAGAAAAGAAAACTAAACTAAAATTAATTTGGAAATAAGGAAGTAATATAAGGGAAAGAATTCTGATAATTATCTTTGATAATTATCTTTTCAAATTAGAAGGAAAATAAAAAATTATAAAAATAAATTTGTAGAGAAAATTAATTTTATTTTTCTTTTTATATCCAAAAAAGAAGTAACTTAAGTTTTTACTTTTATTGGTTGATTAAAAATATTATAAAAGATACTAATTAAGATATTTTACTCTTATTCTAATTAGAAAACATTTAATTTTATTGGTATTTTATTGATTGAGACTTTAATTTTATTGATTTAAAAATAAAATAGTTTAATTTTGATTGATTATGTTAATTTTCTATTTGAATCTAAATAAAATTGTATAAGAATTATCGAAATTAAAAAAAAAAGAAGATCTTATCAACCCTCAAAGAGCTCTCTCTAATTATAGTCTAGTAATAAGCAATCAATGGTAATTCAATATATTATCATTAAAATTAATAAAGATAACTATATATTGCAATTTTAAGACAAATAAATATTGAATATTTGGATATTCATTGTTAATAAAACTATTAATAGATATTTTCACCATTGACCTTCTCTATCATTCTTTTAAATATAAAATTTTCATTCATAATAATATATGATAATTATGATCAATTATAATGATTTTCAATATCAATATTATAATATTCAATACTCATTATATTATAATAATATTAATTTAAAAAGAAAATTATAATACATATTAACTATGATAATCAACATCAAAAATTATTGCATAATTTTTAATTAAAATATAGTTTATAATATTGTAATTTTAATTATTTAATACATATTAAACATGATGATTGAATTGACAATTAATAGCCGATTATTATGTAATTTTAATTGAGAAAGAAGCGCGTTACAATGTTATAAGAATTATAATTATTCTAATAATACTGTAGTCAATTATGATAATTGAACGATAATTAATTAAATCAATATTTACTATAACACTATAACTAATAATTAAATTCCTATGTGGCACTATCCAAATTTAAAGAGCCTCTATTGTAGTAATTATGATAATTGAACGATAATTAATATCAATATTTATATAACACTATAACTAATAATTAAATTCTATGTGGCACTATCAAAATTTAAGAGCTCTATACGACATTATAATCTCATGTGTCATCACCAAAATTTAAAAATCTTATGTGACAAGAGCAAGAGAAGAACATTCATTTAAGAAATATCATATGTCAACTTCTTGAAAAAAATGCTTATTTTTTATATATTGAAATGACCTGGAAAATCTTTTTCAAAAATTTTTCAATTAAAAATTTAATTTTAAATTCTAGCTAATGAAATTCATCAAAAAATATTTTATTATTGCTAAACTAGACCTATAAACCACTTTGAATTTTCTGAAAACCATGTGGAAAACCCGTAAACCAAGCAAAAATCGAGTCAAATCACTAAATTAGACCAAACCCGTTCGAATCGAACCGGAATAGTCTAGAAACCCAGATTTTTTTCCTTTTCTGTTCTTCTTCTTCTTCCTTTCTTCTCCGACGCGCTCATCTTGGGCTCTCTCCCTTCTCACAATCCGGTTTTCGGCTACTAAACCGACGGGACGAAGTGGCGATTGACTCCCTGGACATTGACGATGTCAGTCTTGGTGCCTCTTGTCGTCGATGGAGGCGAATCGGTGCTCTCTCTCTCTCCAATGGCATCGCTGATCTTTGCCGACTAGTTTTCCTGACTACCGGCAAGTCCCAGTCGATGAGACCAGTGTAGAAATGCTGCTCTCCTATCGCTGAACTCGATCTAAGCCTTCCTTCATGCTGAACAGATCTCCAACGGAATGAATAGAAGTGACTGTCGATGCATATTCCGGCCAAACTAGCCACTGGCTCAACAGATGGACGACAAAATCGAGCTTCCTGTGAAATTTCGAGTCTAGGGATGTATGACGGCGAGACCCCAGGAGGCAGAATCATCTTCTCCTTGCGCGGATTGTGAAATCGTCATCCGATTTTTGATTGGTACTCTCTAAGACCTAGTTCCTCTTTTTTTTTTTTTTTTTGGTATAATTTCCAAATTTAAATTATTAGGGAATTTAGTTGATTTCGAATAGATAGTTAATTGAAGGTCTTTGAAATATTAGGTTTTGAAGTTTGTGAATTAATTGGAGGTTTTAGGAGAATTTGAACTTAAGATTTAACTGTGAGAAATTGTGATTATATTAGATTAGGGCATGAATTATAGAAATTGCTAGGGTATTTGCAAGCTTCATAAAATTTGAAACAACTTAGCGTAGAGAAACGTGAAATCCGGTACTGCCACTCTTTGGTCACCGTGGGCGGCGGTGATTGCGGTGGCCGGCGAATGTTTCCGGTGTCAGGAAAATTCCTAAACTCAGAATGTAGGAATTAGTTCGTAGATTATGGATATGTGATTAAAATCACTATTCAACTTAATTAAATCCCTAAATCATTACATAAAGTAACGTGGCCTTAGAAAGACTTAGTCAGCCAATTAGATTATTGATAATTTATGTTACCTAGAATTGATTATTATGGTGAATTTAAGATAGGGAAGTTTAGCTCTATATGATTATGATATGGGACCCTATTATCTCTAGTGTAAATCATGAATCAATAATAAGCACTTGGTTTTCTTTATTAAATTGTAATTTAGTTGTTAGTTAAAGAATGTATTAACCTATGGTACAATAGTGGATATTGAGTTAGGAAGATGGTAAATGAGGTATGATTGATGAATAATGGATATGGTGGATGGGATTAATTGTTGTGAATTGCCCGATGGATGAGTTTTGAGAATTTATTATTGAATTGTGGTTTACTCAAATTTCAGAAGAGGTCCTGCCAAAATTTCGATAGAATCTAGGCTAATCATATTTAATAATGAAGTTAATAAGTTTATTTAGATTAATTCTTTAACTGGATATAATTAAAATAAAGTTATTTATTTATTTATTATTATTATTTATTTATGAAGAACCAAATATTTTATTATATTATTATTTAATACTCTTGTATTATTTATTTAATTTATTAAATTATTATTTTATTATGAAGAAACCAATATTTTTATCTATATTATATTTAATACTCTTTTATTTATTTATTATTATTATTTATTTATGAAGAACCAAATATTTTATTATATTATTATTTAATACTCTTGTATTTATTTGAATTGGTATATGAATATTTATTTGCGCTCTTGCATGATAGTGTTTAATTACTTAATATGCTTGCATTTAATTGCATTGTTTGATTATTTGCGTTGTGATATTGCGATGCCTTATTGTGTGGAATTGGGATGAAGTGGGTCACCATGGGTTTGTGAGGGTGGTCTTAGATACCGTCGACTACGTATGAGGAGATCGACGCCCCCGTGTGCATATGATGATATGGATTATATGGAAAACCACAGGTTGGCCTCCTGTTGGTATGGAAAAAGAAGAGAGGGCTGGTCAAGTGAGGATTAGATCGGTCGGCCATGTATGGGGATTGGCTTCCTAGTGCACACGTCATGAGAGGATGGCCCATATGGGAGGACGGCTTACCGGGGGTTTCGATGACGTCACAAATCAATTTTCACGTGATGTGAAGGTGTTAATATTTGTTATTGCTGTTGTTATGTGATTTGTGTGATCATTTGCGTGATCATATAACTAGTCGGATGACTAAATTGATATAATTAAGCAAATGTGTGAATGCATGTATGTGTATGCAATAATTATTATTTATTATAAAACTCACTCTTTTTATTATTTAACTTGTCAGGAAGTATCCGACTGAAGCTCTACAATCTTTTCCGCAGGGCTACAGAAGTAAATTTCTAATTTTTGTAATAGTCTAATTTATATATTGTCATATGTAAGGACTTCACTACTTCTAGCTATGAGTGAACTCCGCAGTTGTAGGACTTATATGTCTCTCATCATGTATTAATATGAATATCTTAACTTGTGAACGTTTTTAATTGTTTATTTTAATGCATATATGGACCACTAGCCCATTTTATAAATAAAGTGTATTATAAACAGGCCCGAACCATAAACTGATTTGAGATATTGAAGTTGGGCCAGGAATATGGGTTTGCTGTTCCTAGAAATCCAATTGACGAGTGTGGATTTTATGGATTAGGTTTACTATGGGTCTCGAGGATCTTAAATTTACATGGATCCTAGTACTGGTTTGACCCATGAACATGGGTCGTGACAGTTAGATTTTGGATTTTAGTAGTAAATAAAATTTCGGTGAAGATTGTATTCACTTGATGGAAAGGAAGAGATGTTTAGGTGTCAACTATTCGGTATGTAAGTGTAAGAACAAAAGCTTTTGATGGACCAGTCCTAGTGTAATTCCTTAATTTGTTTTTTCTTCATGTAATGTTAACCTGTATATAATTGATGAATGTTGTCACAAAGTCATACCTTTTTGTGTAGTTGTTATGGCCATAAAAATAATCCTATTAATATAAAATATTGAGTTTTTTCAATGTCAGGTTATTGTCTAATTATATTATATTCCATATTGAAAATATATGCTTAAATCATAGAAAAGTAGTAAGTAAAATACCAAAGTAGATAATTCTTGTGAAAAGTAATATTTTTAATTATTTTTTATTTTTATTTCCTTTTAGTTTTTGTAAGCAACCAGTGGCACCCATCTATAACATCAATTTGGCACGGTTTCATATTGCCTCATTCTAATTCTTTTGATTTAAATCATTGGAACATCAATTTTCGGCACGGTTTTCATATTGCCTGCATTCTAATTTCTTTTTGATTTAATCCAATTGGATATCTTTCATATTGCCCGTACTAATTTATTTTAAACAACTTATAATTTTTCCCTTTTTAATGGTTTATATTTTACTTTATTTTTATTTAACTCATTCATGCTCTAGTTGCGGCATAAAAAAATTCGTTTTAGAAATGTACTCTCTTTATAGTAATCAAATAAATTAGTTTTATGAAATTAAATATAATTAGAAAAACATTAATCCTTTATTTAATCCGCACTTTGGCTGTTTAATTTAATTAACATCATTATGGTCAGTTTCTTCTAAATTTTCCATTTACGGCGCAAATCGCTAAAATGATCAAAGGCATAGTCAAAGGTGGGCTTATAATAGTCCAAAATGGTATTTTTTAACTGTTTAAGGTGGGCCATAGTAGTCAAAAGTACAGGAGACTGCCATAGAGTGTATACATAACGTTGTATATAAAAGGAGGTACAACATGCGAATTGAACTTTTAAAAGTAAAATGACTACGAGGCATCAGTTATCCTTGGTACAACCACTCCGAAAGTCGAAACCGTGTGTTTTTGGCTTAGGCCGTTAACCCTCTTTAGGGGTAGAAGAAAGAGGCGAATTAAACAGAAATTAAGTGTAAATGCAAATCTCTACAGCTATTGGTGGAGCAATCTGTCGTTGGAGCATAATATGGATGTGATTAAGCCATGAGTGGTTTCTCTGGAATTCGATTTTGAAGATGGGACATCCACTGGTAAGAAAAGTAAACTGAAAAGGTGGAGGCCACAAAGTTGTAGGTAATGATTTTTGAACCAACCATTTATGAAATATGCCATGTGGGTAGGGAATGGTAAACGAAAAACTGAAGGTTATATTGGAGCAAATTGGCTTAATTTCCCCAGAGATTTTCTCATTATAGACACTATCATAACCATGGTCCCTGGATTTTCTCATACTGGATATTTTATGGAATTTTATGGCCTGAGTTTTATGATATGATAATTATTAGATCTGTAGTGAATTTGGAAAATTTTGAATTGTGCTTAGTAAATTTACATATTGTTTTATTTAAGGTTTTATCAAAAAAAAAAAAAAAAAAAAAAAGACGGAAAGAGAAGGGGGAATATTGAAACGGCACCAGTAGCTACTAACGCGAACCACCCCATAACCACCAAACCTTTCTCGCCGGAGCGGACTCCAATTTCCACCCACCTAAGTCTCATCAATATTCTTCAGGCTCCCTCGATTGTATAAATTGATAACATAAAAAAAAAAAAAAAAAAAAAAAAAAAAGAAGGAAAGAGAAGGGGAATATGAAAGCACCAGTAGCTACTAACCGAACCACCACCATAACCACCACCTTTCTCGCCGGAGCGGACTCATTTCCACCTAAGTCTCATCAATATTCTTCAGGCTCCCTCGATTGTATAATTGATAACATCCAAATAAGCACAAATTCATTACAATCGAAACTCTTCTCTAGCTCTCCCTATAAATGATTACACATCTAAAATAGGCAAACAAATCAAAAACTCAAAATCCCTAAATCCAAAAACAACACTGCAATGATGACATCAACATCTCTCTTTGGATCTCCTGATCTCCATGATCCAACACTACTATATTAAAACAATAACAACAACAACCAACTCCCATCCAAGCCAATTCTGTCATGGATCCCTAATTGTTTACACGAATGCTTCTCTGACCTATCTCTCATCGCGCAATCCTTCTTGATTTTTTTCTTCTATGTTGTACTTAATTCCCCACTCAAATCTATCAAGCAGAGACTAAATGACTCCTAATAGAGTAAAGTGAGTCCTTAAGTTGATGAAGTCTAGAGAGAGAAGAGGTGGAGAGGTCTTGAGATGATGAAACGATTCCTAATTTAAGATTTGTTATGGCTAAAGGAAAGAAAAACTAGAAAAGAAAAGAAAAGAAAAGACAAGCTACAGAGGAGAGAGAATAGGGCAATAGCGTGGCCAGGAGAGAGAAAAAATAACATAAAAGTATCACATTTTTTGAGGGTTACGTGGCATTAAAAATATAAAAAATAGCTGTGTTGTTGGGCCACATCAGTTTTTCGGCGCGTCTTCAACGAAAATTAGTTAAAAAGGATTTTCTTGTTACACAAACAAATCGGAGTTAAGGGTTTTTACCGTTACAAATTGAATTCAAGGGACGGCGCCGTGACAGTGCCTACAGTTGATGGACCTTGAATGAAATTAAGCCGGAAGCAATTCTATTGGTAGAGTGAACGGAGATTTTGGTCGAACATGATCAATTAGTGAGCTCTGACATAGGCAATAGGAACAGCTGACATAGGCATTAGTAACCTGTAGATTGATAAAATTTGTTGTTGCATTTAGTTGTAATTAGAATATAATCTATAGGTTGATAAAATTATATGAAAATATTGATTAAAGGAGTTGAAATGCTTGAAATAATGTGAACTAATTTTTTGAAAATTGTTCAATGTGAATTGTTTCATAATGGGAAGTGAAGTTAAAGTTTAGGGGTAATAACATACCTGAGTAAATTGACTGTTGCAGAGATGAAATGAATATGTATGTTCTAATAATATATGTAATGAGGTCTATAATAAAATCAGTACTAACATTACCCTATTTCATATATAGAATCGATGGGTTCATAGTAGCATTGGAAGCGAATAGCTGTAAAATTGAAACAGAAGTGACAATCATATAACATAATTTAGAATATCAAATAAATGGTGGGGAAATGTGTAATGTGTTGGCATTTTGCATGTCATTTTCTGATTTGGATTATTTGTTTGAATTCTACAGGAGACATGCATTGAGTAAAGGATTTAATGTGAATAAGATATTTGGCAAAAAGGATGAAAAAGGAGATCCAAAATTCATTACCATTGGTTGTCATCGTGGATGTAAAGCAGGAATATATAGTAAGTCCGTTGAAAGGCAGCATCCATCTAGATGGATAGAATGTAAAGCAAGGTTATGTGGATCTGCACAAGGTGATAGAAGATGGAGAATAAATACGGCGGTCCTAGAGCATAACCATGACATAAACCCTAGCAAATCTAGGTTTTTGCCATAACATTGAGAGATATTGCCGTATGTGAAGAGGAGATTGGAGATAAACGATAGTGCAGGAATCTGTTCATGCAAGACATTTGGTGCTTTGGTTGCATATGCCTGTGGTTATGAGATGATGAGATGCTTAGAGAGGGTGTGTCCTAATCATTTAGAAAAGATTCGAAAGTTGCAGTTAGAGAAGGGCAATGCAGAATCAGTGCATCAATTATTTAGGAGAATCCAACAAAGGGATCAAGATTTTTTTCTATGAAATTGCAGCTGACAAGGATGGACAGATGAAGAATATATTGTGGGTTGATGTGAGGAGTTAGAATACATACAAGGAGTTTAGTGATGTTGTGTCATTTGATAAAACTTATTTAGTTAACAAGTACCAGATGCCATTTGCACCTTTTGTTGGAGTTAACCATCATAGACAATCAATTTTATTGAGTTGTGCGCTCATATCGAATGATAAAGTTTCTAGTTTCATTTGGGTTTTTAGACAGTGGATGCGATGTATAGATGATGTGCCACCACCTGTCATTATCACATATCAGTGTCCAAGCATCAAAAAGGCAATTGAGATTGTATTGCCTGAAGCTAGGCAATTGAGATTGTATTCCCTGATAGTGCCCGTGGCACATTATGTCCGAATTCCCTGAGAAGATGAAGTAATATAAGCCGTATGATAATATAAAAAAATATATATATTTTTAGTTAGTATATGACAGCTCCTTAATTGATGAGTTTGAAATAGGATGAGAAATGATGGTAGAATGTTATAGGCTCCATGACAACAGTTGGTTTTGTGCTCTTCATAAGTGAGGGAGAGATGAGCTCCTATCTTTGTTAGGAGGTATTCCTCGAGTGGTATGTCAACAACATAAAGAAGTGAGATCATGAATTCACATTTTGACAGTTATATTCATCCAAGAAGCACACTTAAGCAGTTTGTCGATCAATACAAAGTAGCAGTAAATGGATAAAATTGAGAAAGAGGCAGAAACATTCTTCGATTGTATAAACTCTGAAATTCTGACTTGCACCTAATATGCAATTGATAAACAATTTCAATCATCGTACATGCATGGATTTATGTAAGGAGTTCTTAAATATGTTGTATTATTCCGTCTCCACACCAATATCAATCGTCGTACTTCGCATGC